AGAAAAATTCAGTACGGTTAAAGTTATTTGTTCATTGTTTATCTGTTCCAGTAATAGTTGTCATTAGTGGTAAAATATGCTCATCCTTCCAATTTGAATATTACTGCCTTCAGATTACAGCCACTGATTTTGTTACATGTTTGCACTGCTAGATAAAAGAGCTTGTTAACATTGGTAACAGCCTCTTGTAGCCTACTAAAGGTTGTTATCTGGAGAGACGAGGTTAAGTTACTTCTAACCTTCTTGAAAGACAGTGGCCTCCATTTAGTGTTTTGTTGCAAGGTATGATTTCTGGATAACAAATAATCATTGCATGGTTTGCAAATTCACCATCTTTTATTTTAAAGCCTGATCACCAGAAATGAACAGAGCAGTGGTGTGGCCATTACCATAGGAAAGAAAAATGCAGCCTCTGACTTCCTAGGGAGTAGCCTACTGTAAGAAAATAGGTATCTTTCAGCATCCTTAGGTCACGTGGTTATTAAATATCATTCTGATATGAAAATGAAACCTATCAATGTGATGAATTGAAAGTATGGTAAAAGAAAAAGATATTTCAAAGTGGTTATATCTCTGTGGTTATTTAAGAGTAGAAATTGGATTGTACTAAAATGCCACATGAGAAATTATAATTAATCAGTGGAAGTGTACAACCTTGAGTATTTATCACAGCATTTTTATGAATGGAACTGTGACTTTTATTTTGCCTCTTACTTACCTCACACTGTTGCTGTTACACAGTGTGTTCTGAGTTTGCTTGAAATACCCATTGCTTTGTATATAAAATGTAATATATGTAAATTCAGTGTTCAGAGAGAACATTGGTACTGTTGCTTATTAGCCGGAAAAAATGAAAGACCTTATTTGCAGATTATTATAATTTATTTTTATTAACTACAAGTTTATCTGCTTATCAGTCACCTGTCTGCAAACAGCTCTGAATCCAATAAATGCATGTTGACTACTGTTCAAAAATGGCTATAATTGAGTTTCTTTTATTAATTTAAATGTTAGGATAATTTAATCTCTTTTTCTTCAGGTTATGATTGCTAGGTTTTCCTTACAGACCTTCCACTGTCCTATTCCCTAATTTGCGTGTTCCAGTGAGAGATTCTGACTTTCTGTTTCTGCACTGGATCTGTTTGAACATGCCCCATTTTGCCTCTGATTCAGTTTTGCAGAATCTCCTTTGTGCCTCAATCCATCCCTTAGCCCTGTTCCTCTGAAAACTTCTAGAAGCTGCTTCTCTGTTGTATAGTTTGTAGCTATGGCATCTAAATGCCACACATGAGGTGACCACAGACAGAGCACAACACGTTCATCTGCTCTATGTTCATTTTTCCTTAGTTTCTTTCTACCTCTTCCTCCTTACTTGCCCCAGGCTGCAAAACGTCTTCCTCAGCAACCAGTGCTGTCTGGCTTTGCAGTCTCACATATCCTCGATAGCAGTGATTTTGTGAAAGACCTAGTTGAAACAGAGAGTATTCCCCATGACTCCTTGTCACTTACTGGAGATCAGTCGTGGAGGACAGGTTATAGACAAAGTCAGTCTGCGAAGAAGAGAGTAGTTTATCTTTGTCTGAAACATAGTGAGGAACAATATATCAATGTCCATACATATTTAACTCTGAGGACTGACTCAGGATTTGTCTTGCTGAGGTGTAATTTTGGAAGTTGAGGTATGGAAGTTATTTTTCTTCAGTAAAAGTAGCTGCTATCAGAAGGTGGTTGTTAGCCCTATTGTTTTGCCTGTATTTTTGCTGCTTATAGAACAGTTAATGCAATGTTTTGCTGAAGTCTCATGTAGTGTTGTTATGTTACCATGACACACATGCAAAACTAAAAGCACTGTTGTCAGGGTAATGTAGCAAAATTGTTACTACCCTGTTTTTCCAGTATTCAGGTAACAAAGATCTAATCTTGTTTATGTTTTAACTAAAAGTTTTAATGTTGTTTCAAGTAATGAAGAAAACAGTAGACAAGTAATCATATGCTGTCACATAAACAAGGTAGTATGAATTGAACAGATAGCACTGAAAATAGATTTGTCCTTCAGGTTCTGCAAGAGGCAATGGTGAGAAAGGAGGAGAGGGTTTTGTGATGATGAGAACCATTTTGATATTACTTGAAATAGCTGCAAGGAGAAGCCATAGATAATAATAATCTTCAAACTGTAGAGGTTGAAAGCTCCTAGAAGCCAAGAATGACTGCAGCTGCCTTGAGTGATGGTGGAACAAAGCCATATAGTTATGAATAGTTTATGCAGATGAAATATAATCACAGAGTCAAAATGTGCAGTCATCAGGTTTGAGATCCAAGAAGCAGGTGGTACACATCTCTGTCTCAGGGTTTTGGAGGGGTTCCCTGGCATCAGCCATCTCAAAGAATCATAGACTAAAGAAACAGTTTTGATGTCTACAATTAGATAACACAAGGGAACCGTCACTTCAAACACAAAATTATTCCTTGTCTATGGTCTTCTCCAGACATTCAATGAGGCACATTGTTCCTGTTTTAAAATAATGCCTCAGAACTGAATGCCACTTTTTTTCTGGAAGTGCTAAATGGAAGCTAATGACAGAGAGGAAATTATTTCCAAGTTTTGCAACGGGCAACTATTACCAGAGGATCTATGAGCTTTTCAAATACATTTTTATGTACTTTAAATCGTGGCTTGTCAAGAACTGGGCAACCAAATGCATAGAGAATGTGGCCAAGGTAGCCCACTGCTCCTCAATTATTTATGAACTGATCATAGCATTTGCATATTTATGACTTGATCATAGCACTTGCAGATCTGTTTACTGTTTATAAAAAAAAAATCTGCATTAAAAATTTCACCACTTTAATTATTAATGTTTAATAACCCTGCAGTTTCAGAGGTCACTTAGTGACACTATAGTGTGATGGGGTTTCTTAACTTCTACTAATCTTAAGTACTGAAGAAATTACTACAGTTTTGCTGCCTCAAGTTCAAGAGAAATTAACATTTTAAGGAAGAAGAAACAGTAACAATACTAAATAAACAATCTTGTGACTTTTGGGACATTTGAATATTTTTCTATAGCAGATGAAAAACATTAAACTACCATGTATATTGAGTCTGGATCTGAAAGTAGCTGTGTTCCTTCTTGACTAAAGGAGAATTTTATTGATGAAATAACAGATTATGTAATCAATTTTCTCTTTTCCATTCCTAAGAAATAATTGAATATATGCTTATATGTATGGTCCAATGCAGCATTGATTCTAGAGAGCATCAACTGAGCAGCTACACTTCCATTTTCTCTTTCAGTTGACAACTTAGAAAATGCGTAATAGCTACTGAGTCAGTGTAGAATGGTGAACCCAGACATTGATCTATGTTCTTTAAATTCTTTCATTATAAATTCTGTTAGAAATTAAAATCTTGGTATGCTGTCACTTCGTTTCCCTTTCCTTACCTGCCTGTTCATGCCGATCATTAGTTATTCACTGCAGGTGTGTTTAATAACCGTTCTGTAATGCTGCCTTATTTTCGACTTTTCATGGTTTAATTATTCCAGTTGGAAATGAGTAAATCTGCCAAAAGATTAAATAAATGGCTCCTTCATTATTTAAGTAATGATTGCCCATCACTGGTCAGACAAGTGGATTGGGATTCAGGTGACCACATGTCAATATCTACAATTTTGACATCTGTATCTAAGCTAGACCTCCCAGGCTCCCTTTATAGACAACAAAGAGAAAAAAAAACATTTTTAGGATGCAGTGTCATGCCAAATTAAGCTTCTAAAATAGATCAGATGATTTGCACCCTAAAAATGCTAGTTTTAGTTGACTGTAAATGGAAACAAGAGTGACTAGCTTAGATGTTTGCTGAGTAGATGTCCAAAGGTAGATGAGATCAATCCCTTCCCTGTGCTCAAATTATTCATAAATACCCAGGGCTTTTGTGCGATGACACTTTTTATGTGAATGTACTGTGGCTGTGTTTTTTGATATAAAGGACATAGTGCCATTCAGTGCTCTGCAAGCAAGTCCTGTTCAGCACAAGCACCAAAAGCCGTAAAGTCATAGAATCATAGAGTTATAGAATGCTTAGTGTTGGAAAGGACCTTAAAGATGATCAAGTTCCAACCCCCCTGCCATGGGCACGGACACCCTCCACTAGACCAGGTTGCTCAAAGCCTCATCCAGCCTGGCCTTGAACACCTCCAAGGATGGGGCATCCACAACGTCCCTGGGCAACCTGTTCCAGTGTCTCACCACCCTCACAGTGAAAAACGTCATCCTAATGTCTAGTCTAAATCTGCCCTCTTTCAGCTTGTACCCATTACCCCTTGTCCTCTCACTACACTGCCTGATAAAGAGTGCCTCCCCATCTCTCCTGTAGGCCCCCTTCAGGTACTGGAAGGCTGCTATTAAGTCCCCTCGGAGCCTTCTCTTCTCCAGGCTGAACAACCCCAATTCTTTCAGCCTGTCCTCATAGTGTAGGTGCTCCAGCCCACTGACCATTTTTGTGGCTCCCCTCTGGACTCTCTCCAATAGGTCCAGGTCTGTTAGGACTGCATTTCAAATGGCTTAGATTACCCTGCTTTTCACCTTGGCTAAGAAGTACCAGGGTATTAGCATGTCCACATTCTTTCCAGAACAGATCAGTTTGGGGAACAGCATTAATACTCTGATTGTAGACATACAGAGGCGGTGTTTAATATTTATCTTGGAAGATAAAGGTAATGGCCTTGGCCAGATTAGTTCCTGCTATGCAAAGCAGCATATATCATATTACTAATAATAATAATACTTGCCACAGCAAGCTCACGAGGAGCTAGTTTATAAACAAAAAAAAACCTGAATGCAAGTAGTGTTATTTAGGAATGACACATGGCAAAGGCCTCTTGCATTAAAGAGGGTTGAAAAAGGTGACAGATGTTGAATGCTGAGACATTTTTTAGGTTCTGCAGTTAATTTAGGACATTGCCTTAATGGTGATTTTTCCTGTGGGTTTTTCCTCTTAGGATGATTTCCAGCATGCAGCCTCAGAAACCAACTGGGAGTCAGTCACAAGCTCTGTCTCAGTAAGTAATTTGTTACAATTTTGCCTATGGATGGATTGATAGGATGGCTTGAATCCAACCCTCTAAAATGGTACCTGCACAGAGAAAGCATGTAGTCACCTTTGGCAGAGGACAAAATAAGTGTTTATACAGCTTATATTGGAGTCAGCCAGTGTGTTTTTAAGTAGGAAAGATTCATGATATGTCATCAGCTTTTGTAACCACATGAGATAGCCATTGGGAAACATTTCTTGCTTTCAGACTCATCCTGCCAAGATTAAAATAAAAGACATAAACTCCTTACAATTGTCAATTGTAAAATGTCTTGCCCTAAATAGAAGACTATACTTAAAACAGGCTGGCAGGAAAATGTATCTAGCTTTTCACTGTTAATACTGAGATTTTTTTTTCTCAAGTGTTTGTGGTAAAATTTTGTAACTGAAGTCTCCGTATCCAGCAGTGAAATGTGACTTGGGGAAAAAAAAAAAAAAAAAAAAAAAAAAAAAAAAAAAAAGAAAGAAGGAAAACAAGTAATCCAGTATAATTTTTGTTTCCTCATCCTTACATTTGATTTGTGTCAATGGCCAAAAATCTGTCCCCTCTTTAATTTCCCAAGTAAAGTTAAATGCTGGGGAGTGGCAGTGTACCACCAGAACTCATAATACGGGCAGTCCTCTTCTGTGTGGTCTGCTGACTGGTCAGCACCATGTCACAGCTCTTGTAAACTCCTCTTAAAACACATGAGACGAGGACAAGCACTCAAAGCAGATTTGAGACTGATGACTTGAGGCTGATGTTTGGAGCATTCATGGAAGAAAGTTTAGTGATGGCACCTTTGTTAGTTACAGCAGCTGCCAGATGTTGCCAGTGGAGGAACAGTAAATAAAACATGGGTAAAATCTACTAATTAGTATCCAAGGCAGGCAGAGAGTAGAGAGAAAATTCCGTATTGCCAAATTTAGAAGAGGTTAAGCCAATCTCATTTGTGTTTACCCTTGCGTTTGCAAACGACATTTGTCCCTCATGATATGATGCATTGATAGCCTTGAACTAATTGTGCTGAAAATCCTGAGTAGTAATGTTAGCAGAGCTAAAATCTACTGGATGTGCCAAGCAGGAGATGCTAAAACACTGTTTTAGTGAAAGACACAAACTGATTTTTCATTCTAATACGGGGTTGAGAAAAAAATCTATGTGACAGAGTATTTTATTTTACAGTATGGTAGACTGATGTTTGAAAATGTAGACCTAGGGCTCCCTCATCAGGTAACTATGAAAATGAGATCAAGTATGTGGTAAACACCCTGTTAGTTATCCTCCTTAACAACATAAGGCACACAATAGGCCAAACAATAATCCAGTATTCTTTTCATATTAAAAAAAATGTTTATCATTCATATCTGTTTGTTTTTGAAAAGTTGTTGTTAATATGTTACAGGTAGGGAAGTTCAGTACCAATATTGCAGGTAACACGCTGATGTCCAAGGTCACACGGAAACCTACGGCTAAAGCAGAAGCACAGCTACAGTTCCATTGGTTTTCCCATGCCATCCCCTATTTAATAAAACATACCTTCTTCCATTGGGCTTGTGTTGCACCCTCTAGACCTTTCTTGTCCTCAGGGAAGATACAGTAGAGAGTAATCTTTCCCAAGGCACCAGGAAACAGGACATCCAAATTCATCAAGAGAGAAAGGTTCAGGTACTCTGCTGTGGTCCTGAGGGGCAGAAGGACAAACTCAGACCTGTCAGTTACTGACAAGATGACAAACTGTTCTGATACCCACTTAGCATGGCAGATCTAAGTTTTGTCCCTCAAACCACAAGCAATCCAAAGACTCATTGTAGGATGCGGGTACATTACAACTCTCAAAATAAAAATTTGAGGGTGAGCAAATTAATTCTTCATTGTCTGAGGTCATATCACAGAACTGTATTTCTTGGAGTTTTATTTCTCAGAATGCTAAAACCAATATTTCTGTCCTTAATCCAGCATGGCAACCCAGAAAATAAAGGAAACAAAACTCACTCCTTACTATGTTAGTTTCCATTATTTGTAAAGTTATGACCAACAAACAACTGTGATGCACATTGAACTGCCTGTCAGCTTCACAATACAGATAACAAATAGAAAAGAATGGGGAAACTGAAATTAAGGGTAAGAGCACTGACAAAAAAAAAAAAATACGTTTGTGTCCTACAAAATTAAAAATGCAGAAATGTAGAAGAGGTACATAATTTGCTCTTCATTGCTTCTTGCATTTCACGGTTCCTCTTGCCCTCTCTTTGGATGTGATCTCAGAAGCCAGACTATGATGAGCACAAGCTCTTCTAAAGCTAGTGCCTCATTCTTGGCAGGACAAAAGAGAGACAGTTGGGTTGGCAACTTTGAAGTTGCTTTTGGGCCTGTCACATGATGTCGCTGCCAGTAGGTTATCTGAGCTGCTGAAATAATTCCTCTTGACTTGGCTGTCACTGAGAAAAAGTTAAGCTTCCTTCTGTGTGTGAACAAGGTTGCACAAATCTCTTGAGTAAGAGCTTTTATATGAAAAGAAAATGAAGAATCCCTGCTGCCTGTATGAGTTTGAAATACCCTGCAAATTCACAGCCTGACCTGCAGCTCTGTAATGAAAGGCACAGTTGAACACCTGGAAAAAACTTGCACCATCTAAGCCACACATCTGTGCCTGCTTTTTATGCTGCTCTACCTTCAGCATCCTTGCTGCATCTCCCTCAATTTTGAAAGGCAGTCAGGACTGATGTTTCCCTGTTGGGCTGCAGTCACAGATAAGCCATGAGCTGCACCGAGCTCCGATCAGTAAGCAAGCTGCATTTGGTTGCATTTTTATTTTGTAACCTCAAAGACTGCGTTAGCACACTGCATGGCACCTGCCCACAGCACAGTCCCTCCTGCAGCATTGTTTTAGATAGCAATGCTGTGTTCACGTTGCTGGCGTGAGCTTTTCAACTTCTGGGGCTCCTGTATCTGATGGTCTCTATTCCAAGCCACTTAGAAGTCAGGAGAGATGCTTTGAAGAATGCCTTCCCTTTTAGTGGGTCATGAATTTTTACAGCCATCTGCACTGTGTCATGTTTAGCACTGCACTGTAGAGGCATTGCAGTCACAAGTGGGCCCTCTGAAACTTCTTGTGCTGTTGGTGATAAGCAGTAAAGCACAGCTATGCTTTCTTGACCGTGCTATTGCAATGTTTTCTATTCGCCTCTTTCTTGTTTTTAATAATTTGGCCTGTCTGTACTTTCAGCAAATATATGCAGTAAAATATCAAGGACTGTTACTGTTGTGATATAACTTAGTGTTAAAGACAAATGTTTTATTTTAAAAGACATATATACTTTAAAACTATTTTAGTAAACATTGAAGGACACAATCCTGCGAACAAGTGAGTAGCTTCATTCAAATGAGTTGACCTTTCCATTACTACCCAACTGAGTGAAGGTAATCACAAAGATTAATAGTTTAACATATGCATTTACTTGGGAGATGAGACAAAAAATTATTTTGGGGAGCCATTAATTTTAAATGGCATGTTTCTGCTACATTAGTTCAGAGCTGGGTTTTCATGAGAGAAGAGGGTTTCTGTGTTTTTTCCCCCAATGTTTTAACTTACAAGACCAAAATCCAAACAACTCTTGTGCTATATTATGCTTTTTGTTGGACAAAAATGGGTATTTTGATTATGGTCCTTCAGAAAGTAACAGATTTGCATTAATAGTTTTTCTTGCACATATTTAACACATGTTATTAGGCTTTGCACTTGGACAAGGCAAAAAGTTATATCAGGCTATTGAATATTATGGTTCTAAGTAACAATCATTAAGAGTGCTTAAATCTGTTATTTAAAGTCCTCTCCAGTAAAAACGAAATTGCTGCAATCTTTCTGTCAGTGTCAAGTTGTGCCACAAGTTCAGTGGGAACCAGATACATTCAGAGAATGGTACTTGGCCCTTCCTGGTGGGAAATAATGTTCCGTTTGGTATTATGATATGATTGTGAGGTTATCACTGTGTTGGTAGTCCTGATATTCATTGTTGCATTGCTGAGATCCAAATACCATGTTTTTTCACGTTTGCTTAGTGACTTGTATTTTTTGTAAAAGGTGGGAGAATTGGCATTCATCAGTGTTTCATATTACATTTAATTCTTGGGAATAAAGGGCTATCTTTTCAAGTCATTAACCAAGACAAATTTGTTGTCCACATTTTTACAGTCTAGTGGACTCATTGGTTTTGTGTTTCTCTGCTCTGCTTTCTGATCTGCCTATTACGGATTTACCAACAGAGATGGTGGAGCTGTGAAAGCACCACCCCAGCACTACAAGGCACCTCTATTCTGTGGTCGTGGCCATCACACTGGTTTTAAAAGACATTTCCATTATACCTTCATATATGTGTAAACTGTCATCCCCTTTGAGGAATGGGTGTGCATGTTGACAGTGCAGCAGTGGCAGCGCTTCCACTCCCTGCATCTCCTCCAGGATTTGCTTGGGAGTTCCTTACTGTCTCTTCTCCTTGCAAAATAAAACACAGGCATAACAAAGCCTGACCCAGCTAAGGACTTCAAAAGATGGCCCAAAGTAGCTGTTTCAGTCAATAATGAAACAAGTTTCTGAGTAACTGTTTTCAATTGTTTTAAGTGGTGCCATAATTTATTCCAAGTACACTGAGATGTATGTCACTCTTAGGGGGTATCCTATCCCTCTCCATCAGTGACTGACCCTACGCTCACGGCGGAAGCACTGGATCAGACCATCGCAGCATTTGACACTGTGGAGGATCTGCTCAAACATTTTAACCCGGACTCCTGGCAAGAAGATCTGGAGAATTTGTACACAGACAGTGGCCACCATTATCGAGGCAGGAGCTACCATGACAGGAAGTCCAAAGGTAGGAAAAGTCATTATAGCCATACTTTGGGGCAACACCTCGATATTTCTTCACTCCTCATAGAAATGTCCATTGGTCAGGTATTAGATTCTGATGCCTATGTTCCTGTTGGAGTCACACTGCAAGGCACCACCTACTAAAACCAGTGATATGTCATTTAATCCTTAATCATTTTCTGACTGAGTAGGATCTCACCTGAGAAATCAGACAGAAAACTGCCCATCGTTATGATGAATTCACAAATAAAAACATAGGCACATGTGTAAAGGACAGGGTGTTCTCAGCTTCACCCTCTTAAACGTTGCTTTGTGTTTAAGGCATGGGGCTCCTAATTACCTACACTATCATCCTCCTTTAAATACCCTGCTTAGGGATTGTTCTCTGTTGAGTGAGGAATAATCACTTTTATCACGTTGTGCTTAGGGAAGCATCTGGTGCAGACACCTGTATATGCAGCTGTTTTTTTAGGATGTGAACATCTCACTGTTTTTCATTATGTTGGCAGGGAGCATTATTATGGTTTAACATCTTTGTCTGTAATTGAGCAAAGCACACATTTCTGGGTTATGTTTCTTGTTTCCTTCTGTTACTTCAAATCATCCACCAAATGGTAAAGCAAAGGGATGTTAAGCTAACAGTACAAACCCATAATGATAAAGAAATACTATTTAGAAGAGACAGTTGTGCTCTGGAGCCTGATGCACTGAAGGGCCTGATGAAATTGCCCTTTATGTGCAAGTACAGATCCAGGAGTTCTGGTAGGGTTCTTCAAGGTGACAATTGCTGTAGTTTTCATACAGGATCTAGAGTCAAATATTTATTTTAGTTCTCTTCTTAATATTGTCTTTCATTTCCAAGTTACGTATTCATATGCGTTCCTCTTTATAACTTTAAAATTATAATGCCCACATTATAGTTCTGATTTTGTGCAATCTACTGTTTATTTTTTCATCTCAAATCCCATCCCTCCTGTGTTAAGTTGGTGCTAAGCAGGGAGCAAGGATTTTAATTCGGTGTTTGTAACTTACTTGGTATCAAATGATGGGGCTTCGATCTTAAAAGAGATATAGAGTCTGCATTTGTATTAGGAAAAATGCTGTTGAGGAGTGTTCCCAGGACCTGAAATCTAGTCATCATATTGCTAAATTGTCGGCCTGGTCTCTGCTTAGTTTTAGCCCAGGCCAAGTGTCATCCACCTAGATCATTGCTGGGCATGAACCAGGATCTGTCAGAGATCGGCTGCCATTCCCCATGGCCACCTTGTCTTGGAGTGTAAGAGGTTAGTGTTAGGGATGTGGGCTGTCCCATGCCTGCTGACCTTAGTGCAGGAGAATGACCTCAGCTATATACAGGGTGTTAGTACACATTAGTAGGTTAGGCCACCTTGGCCTGCAGCTTCCAAGACATGTTGGTTGTCTCTGTTTTTGGGCTCAGCACTTCAAAGGAGTCAACAATAAAAATTTTTACCCTTTTACTTTCTTCCATTTTGGCACATCAGAAATTTCAGGCCATCACAACAGCATGTTTTGTGAAAAACGTCACCTAACTGCCACTGTATCACTTCTGAGCTCAGTTTGATCTCATTTAGGGGTCTGTGAAACATGAGTTTCTGTGTCTCTTACCCTCAGGCTGGATTTGGCACCGACAGACATGTATACAAAAGTAATAAAGGGTCTGGTTTGATTTCAGTGGAAGCTGATTAGGAACCTGGATCCTGTACTGGTTCTGCTCTCCAGATTTCATTTGATTCTCTGATCATATTTGGCCTAGTACCCCATATGTTTAAATGACCACATATGTATAAAATAGCATATGCTGCTTTATTGATGCTGAACATGTAGGCTACAGGTATCAATCTGATCTGGCAGTGCTCAGAAAATTCAGATGCATGAAGTTTTCTCCATTTAGTATAGATGTAATTCAGCTTCTTGCATAATGAAACACTGTAAAAGACATAAAGAGTTTTCCAGATAGTATTTTAACACTTGATTTATTTTAACAGGATCTTTTGTTGCTGTTTTTGTTACCGGAATAAACAAAAAAAAGTTTTGTAACAGTTTTTCTTTTGTCTTCAAACTAAAGGCCAAATTCCCTGACAGCTATCAGCCCTCTGGACAAAAGTACCTCACCACAATCAAATCCTTAAAACATTTCAGTTAAGAATATTTATTTAGTCATAAACTTTTGACAAGATTCTTAGATGATGTTAGGAGTAGGGAATAGCTTTAACAAGTCCTTAAATTAGAAAAGTTTGGTGGCTTTTTAAACACAGACACTGAATCTCTGAGGAATGTTTATAGGCCCTGGGATAACCTTGCAGCAAAGAGTGCAATAGATTATATAATCATTTATTTCACATATCTATCTGTTTCTGCTTCCATCTTGGGTTTTATTCTTTATCCTTAGTTAGAATAGCCATGAGGCAGACAAGAACAATTTGATGTAATCTCTGCTATCTTTCACGACATTTTCAGAATATGTCATATAAATGTTGTAAATGAATCACTAATGATTTTACTTCCATCCAACTCTCTGTTCATACCAAATTGTGCCACAAAATAGAGCTTAAGAGCTGGTGTTGCTGAATACCAATTCTGATAACAGGGTTATGAGATAAATGACATTTAAATGGTGTGTTTTCTTAATTTGACAATCAATAATCCACAAAGATAAGGATTAGGTTCAAAGAAAATAAGAAGTACAGTATTTTAGCATAGCTGAGTCACAGAACAGATGAAGTGGGAAGGTGCATCAGGACATCGTCCAACCGCCCTGCTTAAGGCAGGGTCACCAACAGCAGGTTGCTTGGGACCATGTCCAGTTGAGTTTTGAATATCTCCGAGGATGGAGACTCCACAACCTCTCTGGGCAACCTGTGTCTAACCACCTTTGGAACAAAAAACAAACAAAGAAAGAAAGTTTTTAAAAAATATTTAAATTATTTTTCCTGTGTTACAATTTGTGTCCAATACCTCTTGTCCTTTCAAAGGCTCTGGCCTCATGTTCTTTACTCCCTCCCATGATGTATTTATACACAGTTATAAGATTGATCCCTCCCTGGATACCTCCTGTAAGAACCTTAAAGATGAAGAGTTTGTTGATTAAATCTATATGTATGATAACTCCATTCCATCTACGAAACCTGATCTCACACCTCTGCAACACTGATGCAACTGTATTGAGTTAAATGCATTTCTTTCTATTTACACTATTGAAGTGAGATATTGGTATCAGATCTGTCTCACTAATAACCACATGAAGTTTTAAATTTATTCCTACATATGTTCAGTGAGGTTTGGTGTTAACCACTCCAGTAGAAAGCTATAGAATTGCAGTGAAACCCCGACTGGAAGAAAAGGACAGGCAAGAAAGGGAAGATACACGTTCGCATTTTCAAAATCCTTAAATGAGAAGCCTCGTATAAGCTATAAGCACTGTACACCTCCTACATGAAGATATAACAAGTAGATGTTTCAAATAACCTTTGCAGCAGTTGTGCATATACTCAAAAAGGTTTGTTAGCCATTGCTGCATTTTAGAAACTCTGAAAGTATAAACATTCAGTCTTAAGCTCATCCTAGACTCTAAGGAAAAAAGCAGGTGGTACCAAATAAAGTATATCCTTTAAAATAATTCCTTTTGCATTGCATTTGTTGTATCTGACCTCAGTGTCATAGTAATTTGACTATTACAAGTATAAAGCATCTCTAAAAGCATATCACTGGTGATTGTGTTATTTAATACTGTTCTTAGCAAGAACACAAGTAGATATAAAAAAGAAAACAGCCATAATCTACAAGTAATCTCGAACTTCTAGACAAATAGATTTCTATTCTTTTAGAGAGTCATAAGGAGCAATCAGACATGTTTGAAGGAAACCTGTTCATCTTACAATTTAATTTTTTTAAAACATCAATGTATCTGCTTGATATTAGAAGAGCTCCTCAGAGATACTGTTGTAAACAGTTCCAACCATCAATTAAACATCACTTAACTTTTCCCACATGCTTATTGCATTTATCCTTTGTTGTTCACTCTGAAGTTTTACATTGAAAAAGGCTTTATAATTTTAAAAAGACATCTGCCTGTGAAATGGCTTGTGTACAAATGAAAAAAAGAAAGGAGAAAGAAAAAGTTCACTGCTTCTCATCACAGAAGTAGATCCAAATGTCCAGGCAATGGAACCTAGAGAAAGGGGTCATCTTTAAAAAAGCAATTTTTTTTTCACAAATAAGCCTAGGAAGTAGGAACACATGGATAGGCACATTCTGGCAATTATCAAGACTACACACGCCTCTGAGCTCATTTTCTTTTTGGCATGTATATGCAAGAAGCCTTTGGCTATCAGAAGAAATCAGTCAGGTGGGACATTCTTGCAATATCATCTGTCTGCAATGACAGCTTCACAAGTTAAATAAATAAGCACTTGCTGGCATAGCTGCACTGCAGAATGGAAGTAGTAAGATGAGACCAAAAGTCTTCATGGAATGCTTCCGCTGTCCGTCGCCAATCAGGTTTGCAAGATCAGGCAAGTTTCACCATGTCCTTAACAATAGTTTTTAATTGTCACTACTTATAATGGCCTAGCAAGAAGTTAACATTTGAACTCAGGAATGTCGTTTCTCAGGGGTTTGCAAACAGTGGCCAATAAACTACTGCAAATGTCCATGAACCATGAAAGGTTCTGGGATGGCTGCCAGCAAGTCTCAGTGCACCAAACAGGGAGTGCAGGCAGCACAAATGCTGAATGGCTGCTCATTCACAGCAGATGCAAATATTCCAAGCAGATGGAATACCTTCTCAAATAGCTGCTAATATAAAGTATTCCCTGTGCCTAAAAAACAAGATCTTTCTTCCACCCTTCTTCAGTTGGGAACCAAGTTGTCTGTTGTGTACAAACTACACATCTTCATTCATTTCAAAATCTAATTCAGATCTACATCCATAATTTTCCCCCTTTGTGACAAATGAGATTTTCCCTCATGTTTCATGTGGCGTTA